TATCTATAGCAGTGGTTCCCAGCCTGTGGTCCGTGGACCACCAGTGGTCTGCAAGAACAAAAATACGTTCTGCAGCCTCACCATTACTATACTGTTGCCTCAAAAACACGCAGCAACGAGAGCATCGGGTCTTACAAAACCCTCTTATAGTGCTGAGGGAACAGGAATGTCAGGAGGGGAGAGTCTGACGATCCACGAAAAGTACAACAATAATGCTCCTGACTGCTTTTCCTCCCTACTCCTGAGCGGAGCCGTTCCATGTGGCACTGGAAGTGGGGGCGCCTTGGTATCTTTGTTTTTAGGGCTGTTCCTGGGGTTATTTGGAGTGCAGATTCGGAAAATTGCATTGGATAGACCACATCAGCTCTAGATTATTAAATACGGTTTTCTGTGGGCGAGCAAATGACATCTGGATGGCATATGTTCTGTATCAGAAACTAGAACTGATGTGGTCTAACCAATGCAATTTTCTGAATCAGCACCCCAAATAAAGTTGACCAAAACAGATTCATAACCCTTTTGATACTAATGTTGGAAAGTGGTCCCTGATCAAAAAAAAGTTGGGAACCACTGATCTATAGTCTTGAAATCTCTAGTATTAAAAAGCAATGATGCATTAAGGGATTATTAAAGATGGATTTTCTTTGGCTTCTATCTGCAATAAGTTTTTTCCTGGCTTCTAGTACTAACACAAATATATTTTTCAGTATAAAAGCCATTCTGTTACCCACTGTATCCCATACACAGCTTATATTTAGGAAGTCCAAGGATTCCATACAGCCCTACATGGAGACAACAAGAACTGAAATGGAAACTTTCTGCATCCAAAGCATGAGCTCTTCTACCTATTTATATCATAGCAAAGAGATTTTTGTGTGCAGTTCTTTAACTAGAAACAACTCTACAGTTCACCATTCTATGTTTTATAAAAGGTCTTTTGAGATATTTATTCTTTCCTCTATAATAACAATGAAGAAGTTTAAAATGTCTCATAAATCAGAAGTATTACTTTTGGACATCCCAAAATCTGACTGCATGGCACTGGGATACAGCCTTAAAAACCAAAACACTGTTTTGGGTTTTGCTTTTGTTTTTTTTGGGGGGGGGGGGTTGGGGGGGCATCCTTTTAAAAAGGATGTGAAAGAAAATTAGCTTTGAGTATCAAAGTACAGAGCAATTCAAGCTGTGGCAACTGTGTGCTACCTATTTCTTTAGTGTTTTTAATACATATTTGTTTCTGCTACAATCCTGAGTCTCATCCTTGCAAATAGCCTAAGTAGAATTAATTTATTTTAAGAGGACATTTCTTTGTTTATTCAATATTGGGCAGAATAATGGAAGAAATAAAAGTTCAAAGTTATAAATTATGAGTGTATCTAAAAACAGTCTCTTTACATGGCCTTAGTCTCATATCTTTCAGCTATGCCAGTTTGGCAAACACAGTCCAAATTAATCATCCTACTTTTCCAGTTGCTTTTAAGAGTTTCCCTCCTCCCAATTTCCTTTTTTTTCTTGAGTTTACTTTATTGCTCCATAATAAATTGGAAATATAAAAGTAATCTGCATTAAAATAATTTAGCAGGCGACAGAAGAAAGGAGGGAGCAGGATCTTGTAGATTCAGTAGATTCAGTCAAAGCCAGACTGTTGCACCTTTTCTTAATATATGCCACTCCCATTAATAACATTTGCTTTCTTAACTGCATTTTGGTTTTGCTTGGCCATGCATGTCCTGGTTCTCATCTGTGATATGTTGGAGGGCCGCAGTGGCGCAGCAGGTTAAACCGCTAAGCTGCAGAACTTGCTGACTGAAAGGTTGACAGTTTGAATCTGCGGTATGGGGTGAGCTCCTGTTGTTAGCCTCAGCTTCTTCTAGTTCAAAAACATGCAAATGATGTAAGTAGATCAATATGTACCACTTCTGCGGGAAGGTAACGGCATGCAGTCGTGCTGGCCACATGACCTAGAAGGTGTCTACGGACAACGCTGGCTCTTCGGCTTAGAAATGGAGATGAGCATCACCTCCCAGAGTCGGACATGACTAGACTTAATGTCAAGGGGAAACTTTTACCTTTATGTAAATACCATTTCTTGGTAATTCAAGGGGAAATTATGGGGGTTTGAAATTACAAAGGGCCAGCACAATTTCATTATTCACACATTTCCACTAAGTAGAAATGAAGAAAGAGTGCAGTGATAGCTCTAACAACCAACCATGAGTAACTTGAAGCCAAATTGCAATGTTGTAGGTTGAAATGACTTCAAAAGCTACAAGTCACCTTTTCCTGGGAAAGGCTTTGTATTGCAAACATAAGCACACCTAGATTCGTCACTATTACGTATAAAGCATACTAATCAAATGGAAGGACAAGTCTCTTGACTTTTACAGCTGGCAGCTGGAAACAAATATGGTTAGGCTTCTGGGGAAGCAGACCTAAACAGTCCTTATTACAGACAAGAGCTGGAATAGAATTAGGGGATCTAAGCTATGCCAATCTGTGCCAGCATTTGCAATTAAAACAGTAAATAGGAAATGACTTCCTTTCACTTCCTGTTGTTAAAAAAGGTTTCCCCTGGGCCTAAAATGACCCAGCGATGGCCAGAAATGTGGTCAAAATACAAGAACAGCCTTCTAAGTTATTCTAGACTTCAACAATACATTTTGATTTTACTGTTGTTTCATCAAATGAAAATCGCAATAAAACATCAGTTTAACAACATGGAAATGTTTAATAAGATGTCCTCTATGACCAATAATAGTTCCTTTAACAGAATAATTGGTTTAGTAGACAAGATAGTGATATTCACCGGCTGACTGAATATATCTACATCTCATCACAACTTTCAATGTGGTACAAAAGCAACCTGTATGATCTTTAGATCTGGATGTTGTTTATCCCTTACTAGATGTTTTTCTTGTTGTTCTAAATAAATAAAAACATTTCAGTTATGCTGTCAAATTGTAAACTGAATATAAAAGTTATAATACAATCTTGTACATGTCTAAACAGAAGTACCACTGTGGTCGATGAGATATTATTCCCAGGTAAGTAAGACTGCAACTTTACTTGTTTATCTCAGCCGTTTCCAAAATAGAGAAGATGTACGACTGATTAATTATATACTTGCAGATATTACTTGGAAATTTTCATTAAAACTCCTAGCCCAACTCCTCTAAATTCCATAATAATTCTTGGTATGTACGGGCAAGATCTCCTATGATTAATCACCATGCAACTAGAACCTCATATTATCACATATTTAATGTGTTACTCATCTAAAGAAATGTATGATTAAACTACTGGGACTACACCCATAAAAGTAGTCAATGAATCTTCCTTGTCAACTATTAGAATTTGTAAGAACACAGCAAGAAAATAGTGTAGATTTGAACACACAGAATTTTGCTGACAGCCACGTGCGGTTTAAACCATCTGTGTGTATGGATACTGTCATATATTAATTAATAACATTAATTAATAAATAGAAATAGTCTTTCCATTTCTTAACTTCTGTACTTGATTATGACAGTCTGGCTTTAGGTGACCATCATCTATTACACCTCCAGGTCAAACACAAGTCTACAATGCTATACGAGCCCCCTACTTGAGGAGAGTATTCCAACTACATTCAATAGTGTTTTTTTAACAGACCTGTTTAGAATGACATTGTAAATCCCACATGAAATCTCACAACATACTTGGACTAGATCCACTGTGATCATAAACATCAAAGTGATGAACTCATGATAAAGTATACCAATTTGATGGCTTACGCTTGTGGAACAATATTTCTGTGCAACTCTGTTCCTTAAGATCTCAAGGAAAGCCAAACCTAACCATCTTCTAAAAACATTAACTTGCTGGAGTTAAGATTGTCATTAAGGGAGATTTCGGCTATTGTGGTGGTGTTTTCTATTATATTAATTTTGAATTCACCATGAAATTTCAAGTTATTTCCTCGCATTTTGTGGAAGAGGGTACTTTAAAGCAGTGGTTACCAACCTGTGTTCAGTGGACCATCAGTGGTCCACAAGAATGAAAATATGGTTCGCGGCCTCACCATTACTACACCGTTGCCTTGAAATCACACAGCAACGAGAGTGACAGGTCTTGTAAAACCCTCTTAAAGTGCTGAGACAACGGGAATGTCAGATGGGGAGACGCTGACTACCCACGAAAGGTTACGACTACCACAGCAGCTCTAGATTATTAAATACACTTTTCTGTGCAAGAGCAGATCACGACTACTGGATGGCATATGTTCTGCATCAGAAACTGGAACTGATGTGGTCTATCCAATGCAATTTTCTGAATCAGCACCTCAAATAATCAAACCGATTCTAAAGTTGACCAAAAACAGATTCGTAACCTTTTTGGTATTAATGTTGAAGAGTGGTCCCTGGTCAAAAAAAGGTTGGGAACCACTTCTTTAAAGAAAGCAACATGCTTTGGACCAACCTTTCAGATCTACAGGACCCCAGATTCCATTATCCTTACCCCCACAACTGTGTGCGTGTTGATGAAGATGTGTGTTATTGTCCGATACATCAAGAGGGCTTTCAGACTGAGGAAGTCTGTTCCATACCAAGTTCTAAGTCTATAAAGTTGCATAGAAGTGTTATTATCATGTTCACAAAAAACAAAACAAAACAAAACCCACCTCTGTTGTACTGGGCACAGTTAATACCCAGGACAAAAGAACTTCATTCTCAAGAAAATCAGGGCATACTTGTGGCTCCATGCCCATCCACTCAAATACTTAAGTCACACACCTATGCCTCTGGAGATGGATGTTTGAATGCGTGGGAGGAAAAGCTCAAGAAAAGATGGGTTAGGCAGCCAAGGCATGTGCTTCAGCACACTTCAAGCTCATTCCATTTTAATGCTAAGCCAATCCAGATACACAAGCTCAATGTTCAGAATACCCAATGTTTCTGAACTCAAATCAACATAACCAAGATGGAACCCAATTAACCAAATGCCCTGCTTTCCTTCCTCACCTGACCACGTTGGGGTGCTCAAAGGTCTCCAGATGCCTCAAGACAGCCACCTCCCGTATGGTGGAAAGCGGCATTCCCTCCTCACTTGTTTGCACCCGAACCCTCTTCAAGGCCACAAAGCGTCCGCCGTTCTTCAAGTCCCGGGCCTTAAACACCTTTCCATAGGCTCCTTCACCAATCTCGGCCACACATTCATATTGTTGGTCTGCGAGGGCCATGCTGTCCTTATCCATGGCTCTTCCTACTTTCTTTTTTCCCCCAGTTCCTTCTGCAACTTGGCAGGTGCTGTGGATGTTGTCCTGGCTCCCAGCGTGTCCTGGTTCCCAGTGGAAAACAGCCCTTTGCTCCTCCTGAACACTATTTCCAGAGGTTTGAACAGATGGGCCAGCCAGCAGGACAATTTCTTCCACCCTTCTGGAATTAGAATAATGGCCCCAGTCCGCCTTTTGCTTGCCCAGTGGCAGTTACCTCATAGTCTTTGGGATCATTGTCTCTGTAAAGCTGATTAAATCTAAAGGACTAAAGAGAAACAAACAAAATATAGAATCATTAGTATTAGTTGCATCACTCAATTGGGTTCCATCACAAAATAATTTGCCATTAAATGCTTAAACCTACATTCAAATCCAACTATAAGGTAAGCCCACTAAATCAATGGGAACTTAGTAAATCAGTACCTGAAAAAAAATTCCTCAATTCAATAGTTCAACTTTAATTGAGACTACCATTGGGATTTACGCCTTCATTCATATATATATATATATATATATATATATATATATATGGATCTTCAACACAAATGCACTATACAGTTTTCAATGAAATGCGTATTTGATGCTTCAGTGTCAGTATTACTGCTATTATTTACATTTATATCGCACCTTTCCCCAAAAATCTCAAGGCAGCATGTATACTTTCCCTTCTTCTTTCTATTTTACATTCTATGTGGAGTGGGATACTCATGGAATCATAAAGTTGGAAGAGGCCTCAAGGGCCATTCAGTCCAACCCTTGATATACAGGAATACACAACCAAAACATGCTCAGATGCAAATTCTGAATGCATTTGTTCGAACATTACCATGAAAATAAAAGGATCCAATGTGCATACTGTTATTTATTTATAACAATTTATACTGATTCCAGGAATCAGAAATTCCAGAAAATAAAATTAGGTTATATGCATTGTCTTTACCCTATTTTACAGTCACAGAAAGCAAACTCACAGCCTTAAAAGAACAATTACAAGCATATATACAAAACAATCACCACAACTATTAAAATAGTAGCAGATTAAGACTAAAAACTAAGCAGGGCAAACACCAATGCGGCAAATAAATGCATGCTAAAACAAACAAGTCTTCAACAAACATATAAAAACCAAACTAAAAACAAACCATGGATCTCCACAAGAAGGTTATTTCCAGGGTTTCATTGCCACTGCTGAAAAGTCCAGATCATGGGTGGTATTATTATTATTACGTCTATATTTATTTATAATCCACCTTTTCTGCAGACTGGGACTTAAAAGTGGTTTGCAAAATAATTCACTTCCCTTAAAAATTTAAAATATAATTAATTATATTCAAATAATTAAAAGCAGTTAAATACATGACAATTGTGAAGAAAAGCTGCAACTACGTGCAACCCCTTTATCCATGGACTTGATATCCATGGTTTCACTTACCCATTTTCCAGCCTTAGAACACATCCCTGTGGCTATAGGGAGTCCTACTGTATACAGCACATTGTCAAAAGCCTACTCTCCCTGAGCAGCCAGCCCTCAAAGGCCTGCTGAAACAAACAGGCCTTCACCAGCCTAAAAGGATAGCAAGGAGGGATAGCAACCTAACCTCATGAAGGGTGCACCTACACTGTAGAATTTCTGCAGTTTGACACCACTTTAACTGCCATGGCTCAATGCTATAGAACCACTGAATTGTTTAATAATTCAGGTCAGCCTTCCATATTTGCGGGCTTAACTTTTGCAAATTTGATTATTCACAAATTTGATTAAAATGTTATAAGAATCTCTAGATCCTCTGGTGCAACTCTGTGATCACCTTTTGCCAGGCGGTCATCATAGAGGCATGCTGGAGAACCTAGAGATTCCTAGAGAGAGATTTTCTCAGGTAAAACATAGCACTTATTTTCATAAATGCTTTTTCACATTCATGAAGGTTGTGTGTCCCTAATCCAAACAAATGTGGTGGGCTGACTGTAATTTAATTCTCTTTTAATATTTACCATCTATATGTTTTAACTGTATCATTTTTTTATTTTGTTAGTTACTTTGTGTCCTTATCCTAGGGAAAAAGCAGGGTTTGAATATGTGTCTGTCTGTCTGTCTGTCTGTCTGTCTATCTATCTCTATCTATCTATCTATCTATCTATCTATCTATCTATCTATCTAGTGGCTCCTTGTCAAGTTTTCATGAGCACATGCCTTGGAAAGAGTGTGTGTGGAATGAAGGCCCAGAAAGTGCATATGCCTGCCTGCAGCCAAGCACCTCCTCTTGAGTAACAATGAGAATTTGCCTGTTGCCTCCTTGCCTTGGAAAGAGAGTGCATGCATGGTGGTGTATAGGCCCAGAAAGCGTGCACAAGTGTCTGCAGCTGAGCATCACTCCTCTAGAGTAAAAACAGAGGAGCGCCTCTCCTCTAGAGTAAAACAGCTTCAATACCTAAAATGATGGGAAGGGGAGCCAGGGGAGCCTGGGAAGCAACCCCCTCCCCCCCCCATCATAATGGACTGGTAGAAAACTGATATTTCAGCACCCCAGAGCAAAAACAGGTATCTGCTCTCCCAATTTCGGGAGGCTTCCAAAAAACAAGTCAGCCCCCCCCCCACTGAAACCCAGGACATGAAACGAGTCAAGTTTTACCCCAAAAGCACAACCTTAATGTGTGTGTGTGTGTGTGTGTGTGTATGAAATGAAGCTGAGCCAGTCTTAAGTATATGCAATTGCCCTTCCTCACTTACCTTAAGAAAAAGATTGTCACAGTACCTAATCAAGAACAAACTATAGTTATATTTAACTATGGCTTGTACAAACAATCCAAGTTCAAACCATGATTTATAACCCAGGCCTGTTTGGAATGAAGTATATAAATTAACCACATATCCTGGTTCTGATATGACAAATCAAGCAAATGTCTTCAATCTCTACTTTTCTGGAAATACAGGGAAATGGGAAATATATAATATCAGGACTAAACACTAAACAGTAGTGTAATATTACGTCAAACAAAGCTGGTGTTAAATTTTCCACTAAAAATAGTTGAGGTCTGTAGAGATGAGAATTCATTGCATGAGGATTAACAATCAGAAATTGGCTAGTTATGAATTTGTGTTCTACCTAAACACCACATGGAATTATTGACTTCAGCAAACCTAGCCATTATTCCTCTGTTAGTACACATATTGTCATAAATTACATGGCGTGCAAATTTTACAATCCACAAATAGGGGACATCCCTTATAAGAAGGGACATCTGGAAATCCTTGGCAACTCACATAGAAAACACACACTGAAATCACTATATCCTAGATTTTTTTGAATGAGTTTAAACCTCAAAGTCCACTACTTCGAATGAGAACTGGCAATCATTGTAGTTGTCTTAAAAATAAATATTATACTGCCTAGTCACTGTCAACAGAAAAGCAAATAGAATTCTGTGTAAACTGAAATTTCTATATTATCTTCAAGAATAGTCCCATGTAGACCAAAATACAGTAATTTAATGTAGAAAATATTATAGTGAGCTAAATAGAAAAGAAGTCAGGTAGGAGACACACTAAGAATTTTCCAGTCAACTTTTATAAAAGAGGCAGCTAGTGACAATGTTTGGATTGCATTGCTCATGATGACCGAAATTCCACCGTAACAGATTACCGATCTGGAAATTTTTGAGCCTGTATTATTCAGAATGGTGGGTCATCTTCTGAAAAGTCTACTTTATGAATAAATGCACAGGATTTATTTTAATACGATTGTGACTAGTGATACAGTAGTTTCTATTACAAAGAAATGCAGTGAATACTCTAGAAAAAGATATGGGCAAACTTCAGCCCTCCAGGTGTTTGGTATTGTGAGAGTTGAAGTCCAAAACACCTGGAGGGCCGAAGTTTGCCCATGCCTGCTGTAGAAGTAGGCACAAGTTAGAAAATACATACAGGTTATCATATATATGATCCAAACTTGGATTACCATTGGTATTCAAAACAATGTCCTACATCTCATTTCTCTCTCTAATCTTAATTAGTAGATGGAACAGAGGAGAACATTTTTCCCCAGCATTACTACCAGTGATCAAGTAGTTCATGTCATTCTGAGACTCAGAAATCATCTGACACTAATCAACATCCAAAGAGGTATAACAAGTGTAGAAATTATTATCACACACACACATATACACACACAAAAGATGAACACAAAATGAAGATTTGTCTGTATTCATGATGCTAAAGTAATACTGTATGTAGATAATAAACACTTTAAAGTCTCACTGTTTGCATTTTAAAGTGAAACACTTTCCAGTGCTTATATTTCTCTTACTGAAATAAATGACCTTAAAGGTACTTAACTTCACCTGAATTACGCTCTATATCAGTGGTTCCCAACCTGTGGCCCATGGACTACCAGTGGTCTGCAAGAACTAAAATATGGTCTGCGACTTCACCGTTACTACACCATTGCAATGAGAATGACTGGTCTCATGAAACATTCTTATAGTGCTGAGGCTTATTAAATATGGTTTTCTGTGGGTTAGTGGATGGCAACTATTGGATGGCATATGTTCTGTATCAGATACTAGAGCTGATGTGGTCTATCCAATTCAATTTTCTGAATCAGCACTCCAAATAACCAAACTGAATCTAAAGTTGACCAAAATGTTGGAGAGTGGTCCCTCATCAAAAAAAGCTTGGGAACCACTGCTCTATATTAAGCCTCAAATATCATCATCATCATTATTATCTTCATATATTAACTTAATAAATCAAAGAATTATAAATGAGTATTATAATTTAATTAATGAAAACACTATAATAGTAAACAAAATCCGTTGTCCTTTACTAACAGCGTCATGAAAGATCTGACATGTGAATAGTTCAGGAGACAGGGTATGGATTCTATCAACAATGGAAGTTCAATTGCATGACTGAAAAAAAATGTCCTCCAAGAACAGTGGCAAATTCATCCTTTAAATAACAAACAGTGACAAGTATCACAAAGGTTGTTTACATCCAGATCACAGATGACAAACTTTCCTGCATTCTCACTAATGATCAACCAGAGTAGAAACAACTCTTAATCATAAACTGGTACTCTTACCTTTACCATGAATACTTGTAAGAAGCAATTTTATTTGGTGCATTAAAAGCAAATATAAATAATATAAAATAATACTGACTTATGTTCTTTTGGGACGGACCAAGCTCTTGCCTTTCACTACTCTACTCAAAGAAGGTGATGATTCCTTTTTTTTGATAAGAGTTAGGATACAGTACTTACATTG